CAGCAGTCGGGAAAAATCCCAGAATCCAAAGAGAGGTTGAATATGGATGCTAAAGGTGCGGCCAGCACTCCAATACAGTTCTTAATAACCGCGGAAGGGATTCCGTCAGGGCCAGTGCTGAAAGAATTTTTCAAACGAAGGCCTGCTCTACGAACATCATTAGTCGAGATAGGCGGATGCGGCCCAACAGGAGAAAGTACGGGAACATCACTTACGGCGACTACGATGTGGTCGTTAGGTAAACTTTCTTTGACGAAGACACTGCTGAATTGGGACATGAACGGGTCAGCGATTCCCTCCGTATCTGACTCTTCTCGATCCGTATTGTACATGGTAGAAGCACAGACAAACAGACGTAACTCTTCATTGTGTATCTTCGTTCATGCATTTAACGGTTGATTTGAATATTATCAGTTCCGCGAACTACTCGCCGCAGCGCTGGCATCAGATCACTTTGACGTTTCTATACATTCTATAGAACTTTTATGCAATATTGTTTACGAGTTAGCGAGCAAGCTTGTTTTCCGCGAGAAGCTAGAGAGATGTCGTTACTGAGGTTATATGTTTTGAGATACTGTGTTTTCAAGAACAAGGTTTTCAAAGAGTTGCGTCTGTTTGTCTGTGGTAGAAGGTAAGCCCGGCAACTTGAAGATTAGTGGGGATTTTGCAAAAAAAAAGTTCGATTTACTTCAGGTGAAACATTTTGAGGTGCCGAATGTGGTTCTGTTGTATTCCAAGGGAAAAGTGTGAAGGGCTTAAGGATCGGGATCAGGTTTGTCAAAATGGGCTTAATTTGTTTTACAGAAAGCCTATCAAATAAATTGTCTAATAATGTACAATTGGGTATCATAATAGTTATTGAAATAATCTAGAATAATTAAACAAGATGAGTGACTAGTGGTGCCGTAGATCGCTCATCCAGGAGAAAGGTGCCTGATTTGTATGACGCTATGTATCTGGCCACCCTGTGACATTGGCCCATGTGATCCGTGATTACCGATATTGGAAACGCCAAGCAAGTGTTCGTTGCTAAAATGGATGACCCTGAGAGTGACCTAGTTATTGCTGTTGCTGGTGATGATCTTGGCGCTGGTATTTATTTATCACTCAAACATTGACAACTCTTGCAGGGAATTGGACGAAGTACTGGCTGCATGAGAGATCCGTGCAAAGTATATGTTTGTCATCTAATCCGGAATTCGATCGTCTAGTCCGGTTGATGTGTCAATTTCATCCTGAAGCGAAGATCGATGACTGTCAGCAAAGTGCAAAACCTTAGCAACTATTAGAACAACGATAGCAAACATCACTGATGCCGTTGCATATTATGTTTTGTGTCACTTGTCAAAGTGTACCCTAACCGTGTGCCGTGATGTGTTTCGGCACAGTGTGCAGAGTTGATTACGCCTTGACGGAACCCATGGATTGGAAGATCAAATTAACATAGTGAGACCAGTTCAAATACTTTTTACAATTTAAAACTAAACTAAACTAAATACGTGCCAGGATTCAAAAGAATATTTTGAAACTGGAAGTGTGTGTAATACTAATATCCAATTGATAGAGGTAATACATACATGCGGGGTATATAGTAAGTGAAAGTAATCTCGTATTGGGCGTGACTCTCCAGACATTCTGAAATGGGTTGCTGGATCTGCAATAGAGCTATCACCTTCTGACTCCCGGACTAAATCTGTCTAAAATGACCATAAATGTGACATTGTAGAGAGAGTTGTTCCATAATAATACTGCCCGCCAGTGTGGGGTTAGAGAGAATACACACATACACCTACGAACCCCCCAGATGGACGATGGAGCAGTTCCATGAGATGCTGCATGGGCTTATCGAAGAGCTGATTGAACGACGACCGGTAGTCATCGAAGGAGACTTCAATGCTTGGGCAGTGGAGTGGGGAAGCAGATGTTCCAATGCAAGAGGGCACAGTCTGCTGGAAGCTTTGGCACTTTTCGCAGAGATGGCCGGGAATCCACTATCGACGTTACTTTCTGCAGTCCGTCGCTGGTGGCAAACATGGATTGGAGAGTGTGGCGCTAGTTGTCTCAGAGCCAGAAGACGTGTTCAGAGAGCATGAACAAAAGCACACAGAGAGGAACGAAGAGGAGTGTTTCGAGCGGCCAGGGCCGCACTTAAACGAGAGATAAAGCAGAGCAAGTTAAACTGTTTTAAGGAGCTGTGTCGAGACGCTGATGCCAACCCTTGAGGCGACGCATACCGAGTCGTGATGGCGAAGATCAGAGGTCCAACGATGCCCACTGAAATGTGTCCAGAGAAGCTGAAAGTCGTCGTGGAAGGACTTTTCCCGAAGCACGACCCAACGACCCTCCGTACGGAGAAGGAGAGGGAGATCTAGGGGGCGACACATCTAAATCTCAATTCTAGATGCTCGAAAAATCCGAGGGGGGCGACACATCTAAATCTCAAGTTTAGATGCTCAACAAATCTCACACTAACGAATAAATCTTCGAAAAATCTTCTTTCATTTGTCGCATCTACTTGCATCGTGCATCATCTTTTTGCAGGAAATCTTCAGAATCGTCATCAATCTTCTTTCTATCTTCTCAGCGTGCGCGCAGCTAGCCACAGCAAAACACAATCTTTTCTGTATCGTAGATAGAGTCGTCCCCCTCGGAAAAATCAAACACTAGCGAATGAATCTTCGAAAAATCTTATATCAATTTTCGCATCTACTTGCATCGCGCATCATCTTTTTGTAGGAGATCTTCAGAATTGTCACCAATCTTCTTTCGATCTAAACAGCGTGCGCGCAGCTAACGACTGCAAAACAAAATATTTCCTGCATCGCAGATAGAGTCGCCCCCCTCGAGGGAGATAATGTCGAAGTCACCAACGAGGAACTCGTAACAGTGGCGAAAGGATTGAAGGTGAAGAAAGCTTCCGGTCCGGATGGAATCCCCAACGTAGCGTTGAAATCGGCATGTTCAGGATGGTGCTGCAGAAATGCCTGGACGAGGGTCATTTGGGATACAGAAGCTAGTTTTGCTGCCGAAACCAGGAAAACCACCGTGGGATCCATCATACATTAACGGAGAGTGAGCACGGATTATCGGAGAGGTAGTTCGGATTTCGGAAAGGGAGATCAACGGTGGATGCAATTCGGACAGTGGTCGAGAGAGCTGAGAAGGCGTCCAAACAGAAGCGAAGAGGAAATCGATATTGCGCCGTGATAACGATCGACGTCAAGAATGCGTTCAACAGTGCCAGCTGGGAGGCCATCGCCGAAGCACTGGATAGAATGAGAGTCCCTGACTACCTGGGCAGGATCCTGAGGAGTTATTTCCAGAACCGGGTTCTGGTCTACGACATCGGACAGAGATCGATTAGGATCACAGCGGGAGTCCAACGCTCTGGAACGGGATGTACAACGGCGTGCTAACGCTGAAGCTGCCCAAAGGTGTTGAGATCGTTGGCTTTGCGGACTACGTCTTCTTGACGGTAACAGGCGAGACGCTGGAAGAGGTGGAAGTGTTATCAACCGAGGTGATCGACATGATTGGTAACTGGATGCAAGGAGCGAAGCTGCAGATAGCCCACCAGAAAACGGAAGTCAGTAACTGTAAAGCGGTACAGCGGGCAGAAATCACCGTCGGGGAGCACGCCATAGCCTGGAAACGTGTGTTTAAATACCTGGGAGTGATGATCGATGATCGACTTCAACAGCCACGTCGAATATGCCTTTGAGAAGGCTTCGAAGGCCATCGACGCGATATCTAGAATCATGCCGAAAAACGCTGGTCCCAGCAGTAGCAAGAGGCGTCTTCTTGCCAGTGTTTCGTCATCGATACTGAGGTATGGAGGTCCAGCCTGGGTTCCAGCACTGAAAACGAAGCAGAACCAAAGGAAACTGAGCAGTGCGTTCCGGCTCATGGCCATGCGAGTCGTGATTGCGTACAGAACCATCTCATCGGAAGCAGTATGCGTTACTGCCGGAATGATCCCTATCTTCATCACCCTGGCGGAGGACACCGAGTGATACAGGCGGAGAGAAGCCGGAAGAGTACGGAAAGTTGTGAGAGTGGAATCATTGGCTAAGTGGCAACAGGAGTGGGTGAACGAAAAACACAGAGAAGTCAACTTCCACCTAACGCAGTTCCTGTCTGGCCATGGCTGCTTCAGGAAATACCTACATCAGTTCGGACACGCAGCGTCACCCCTCTGTCCGAAGTGTGGCAACGTCGATGAAACGCCGGAGCATGTGGTCTTCGTCTGTCCAAGGTTCGAGACAGTGCGAAGGAAGATGTCTGTCCTTAACGAGGAGAATGTCGTTGATGAAATGTGTCGAGAGGAGGGTACTTGGAATGCAGTCAGCAGGGCAGTCACGCAGATTATGTCGGAGCTGCAGCGTGAATGGAGAGAAGAGCAGCGATCTAGCAACGCCAGCTAGCGCTGAGAGTATCAGAAGTGCATGAGCACAGTCACCCCCCGAAGTTGTCGCTTCACATTGGTCCCGGGGGGAGGGGGGATCCAGGCAGAGGAGAGAGTAAGGAATGGGTTTTAGTGGAGCTTATAAACCGAACCTGGAATTATAACTTCCGCATCCAGCTTGATGACGCCGTTCTTCGACTGACTAGGCTACCTGAGATGTACATATTAGCCGATAGCTAATCCCCAACGCAGACTTCAATTCCAGATACCAAAACACTAAAACATTAATTCAAACAGTGAACAAATGTCAAATGTTCCTCCAATGGGTAGAGCCTCAATGCATAAATCTCTGCGTATATTGCGCATTTCGGACCTTGCCGTGACAATTTCTACAAACAGACGAAATGCCCATGGAAAACCCCTCGCACTAATTGCTGTCTGATTTTATTAGGGTTAATTTAGAGACTACTCTCAAGTAGAAAGATCTGTGGAGAAGCTGTAGAGTTTCTCGACGTTTCAAGTGTAATTAAACGAAACCCACTTCCACAGAGTTTTGATTAGACCAGCAACGTAATTCCATGCTATATTTAAATCAACAAACATATCAGAAATACCCCTATTCATTTCTAAGTGTATTTAATACCATCCGAATGCATATCTACGATATAACGAGAACTGAGTAGACACTCAAGAGATAAGGCTTTGTCAATGACTAGCAAAAACGCGTGCTTATTGCTTTTTCTTCTTCGCATCCTTCGTAGGATATATCACAAACAGCGCCAACTGGACTCCACTCAGCGAAACGGCTGCCAGGTTTTGGAACTGCAATCAAAGTGAATCACATTAAAGTCGAATCCTGAAATCACTATTATCGAACTCACAATGACAAACGTATTGTTGAGGATGATCCCGTAGAGCAGCCACATGCAGCCAACTACCGTACCGGACAGGATCATCGGAAACGGGAGTCCCTCAGTGCTCTTCTTGCGAATAATTTCCGGCTGAAACGGAATCGGGTTTAATTCAGCAGTAATCAGCGATCCGGATTAGTGACCTACCAAACCAAACAACGGTTGCGCAATCAGCATCAACAACAGCACCGTTAGGATCAGCCCGAATCGATCCTCCACCAGTTCGGCATTCTCAATTTGCGCGTAGGCCAACATGGCCATCGCCACCGCTCCGACCGTTCCAAGCTGTTTCCAAAAGTCAGCCTTGCTCTGCCGTGGCGTGTAGAGGTAAAAGAACACCGAGTAAGCCACGCTTATTCCCAGGCCCACCACATTGGCCCGAATCATGGCCGGATCGTCCATCAACAGGGCATGCTTCAGGAAGAGAATCCCGCTTTTTTCGAACACGGGCGATTGATATTATTTGCAAGTCACGTTTGTCACTCATCGCGTACTTACAGTCCACAACCGCCGAGGAATGGCATCGGCGAGAAGCCGTCCGAGGTGCCCTTCTTCCGAATGTCGTTGCACACGAAACCACCGCTGAACATCTGCAGGACTGTAACGATAGCGGCTACATTTCCCACCAATTCCTTGTACGGCTGCAATGCACGGGATAGCGATTCCATGATTCGTCTGCGATTTAATCAAAATCACGGAGATCACGAGAGCGAGACCTTGAACTAACTCAAAACCGCAACCACTCGAGCCGTACGTAGTAGTGGTCAAGCGTGTACTAAGCGGAATAGAGTTAGCGCTTGAATTCATGTCATCATACTTAACTCATAGAAGATTGATGACGTCGAGATTGCGAGTAACAATGCGAGAGAATATAGACAATTGAGTGGTCTGAGTGTGTTTGTGTGGGGGGGGGGAGGGTTGCGGGTATCTCAATCGCGAAAAAATAACCTGTCTTGAATTCAGCCGTCACAAATACGATGGGGAACCCTGTGGGTGTTGTGAGCTCATACTCGAATCGAAATTTGTTGTTCTTTTTTACGTATGCTTTTCATTCATAGTCAGACCATCCATAATTTCATTAATTTTCAAGACTTCAATTAGGTGATGTCACCAATGAGCATGAGCATGACCGCTCGCAGTTGCTACTCCGTTATAGCCAGATCACCTGTAATTATACAGAGAACGGGACTAGCTATCATCCTCAATGTATAAAAACTAGTGAACTGGCCCACTTATGAATGGAACAACATCATTTGGATCTGTTTCGGATTTGAAAACGCACTCAAGGGCATACTAGGCTAGTCAAGTAGTGATCCAATTTAAAATCCATAGTTTTGTATTGATTGTTGGTATTACCAACCGGTGAACACTCATGTTTATTTCAGTACCCTTGGGACGTAATTTGTGATTAGCCCCGATCCCTTTCAAGTTGTATCATTATTTATGTACGGTCCTTATATTTGAAATGACGTTTCACATTCATCTAGTGATGGCCGATTTTCATTCGAATAATTGATTAATCGATTAACGGACCGAAAAGTAAAATATTTGTAATCGGTTATATCATGCCGATATAAGCGGTGCCAGTGGTGTAGTGGTAAGCGTGATTACCTCTCACTCCAGAAGGCCTGGGTTCAATCCCAGTCGGCGCAGCCGGGATGTTCTGAGGCATAACATCTCTGATCACGCCTTCCTTCGGATGGGAAGTAAAGCCGTTGGTCCCCGGTTCATGAGTTGATGGGTCGATAGGTAGGGTCCAGGTGTGGGAGCTGCCTCCCTGGCGTCGGTAGCATTGGTACTCAGCACGGAAAACATATCAAGGAAACAAAAAATAAGCATTAATATCTCCAGAGGATCATAGCCGATCGTTTCAAACATGTGCTGCACTCTCATTGGTGGAAAAATGGCAGCACAGCGAACAAATAAAAATCGATTAGTTGTTAATCGAGTAATTAAAATATGGGACTTCTCTGATTCTGGTGTGTTTGTTTTGATAAAAAAAAAAGCGCTAAATTTCATCACTACCGAGGGGGCAGCAAAACTACAAAATTACCTTGAATACGGAGGTTATTCATTCGATGAAAATAACCGTGAAAAAGGACACTAAAATAGATAGTTTTTCTTCCGACAGTTTCATCTTAGTATTCGTCTTTGATATTACCATAGAGGTAACTCATAGACCAGAAGGTCCCGAAGAAACGTGCTCAACTTTTTGGCTCAGCTCTGGTATTCTCTTCGGTCCCAAGCTAATCGATTCACCCCTCGAAACATAGAAAAATCCACTAACCCCTCATTTATCTGTCAAACTTTCATAGCGTATCAAAACAAACATTATGTAGCACTAGAATTTCGACTAGAATGGGATACGTTAATCGATTTGCTTGGGACCAATAGGCTAGTTTAAGTAGTGAGCCAATTTAAAATCGATAGTTTCGTATTGATTGTTGGTATTACTGCACTAACGAAAATCTACATAGCGGTGGTCATCAAAAAACCTAATAATCTCATGAATTGAAAGGACTTATCTTTTTGTAACATGCTAGCCTAATAAATCAATATCACACTTTTCACTCTTACTGTACATTTAGAAGATTTAACGTTTTTAGCGCTTTATAACTATGGAATGAACATTAGGGGTGTAATTTTGATGCTTGATGACTGGAACGCGCAAAAATTGATCGACAAAAAAATCGTTTCTTTCATTCAAAATTCATAACACAAAAATCTTCTTATTTTTCTTTCGGTAGTTCAATTCATATATTTAAAGGGAAAAATGTTCGATTATTCTTTTGGTTTGCCAAATACGAACTGCCGTGCCTTCCGCTTAACCCCTTCCATTCAATTTTGCACAGTGGTCTCATCGACCTTATTCGCCGCCAAACGCCAGTTAAGATTTAAACTGCTGCTCGTTTTCCATGGATTTATTAGTTTTTTTTCGATTCTGTTTGACCAAGGCCCAATACCGTTCGATAGGGCAGAGTTCTAGGCTGTTGGGAGGGTAGTGGTCTTTGGGTACCACAACCACGTTGTTCGTATCGTACCACTCGATTGCCTTTTTCCCATAGTGGCAGCTCGCCAAGTCCGGCTAAAACAGCACAGATCTATTGTGTTGCTTTAGGAATGGTAGAAGCCGCTTTTCCAGGCACTCCTGGACGTAGATCTGTTGATTGATGGTTCCCGCAGTAATGAATATGCCGCTTTTTTAGTCCACACGTGCATATGAGACGAGATATTTTTTCGGGAACTTCGATAGTTTGATGGTTTTGAAAATTTCAGCCACCTTACCTTTTCCTGATGCGGTATAAAACTCCTGTCCCGGAAGCTGCTTGAAATCCGCCTCCCCATAAGTTTCATCGTCCATGACGAAACAGTCGAACTTTGTGAGCAGATTCAGCTTTCGGGACCGCTGCTTTGCCGACGTGTTTTGTTTGTAATCTCGGTTCGCCACCTTCACCTTCTTAAACGTCGACAACCCGGCTCGTTTCTTGGCCCGCTGCACAGTATTATGGGAGACATTGAGCTTTCCAACGACGTCCCGGATGAAGAGGTTAGGATTCCGCTTATATTTCACCGCCACCTTCTTCGTCGTCGCTGCCACGTCCGAATTACGATTGCCACCGCTTCCAGGCTTCCTGGCGGTCGACAAACGCTCCCCGAACACTTTTAAAATGTTTTTCACGGTCGATTCAGCAATTTTGCCAATTTGGTGTGTGAGAACGTCGGATTCTCTTGCTGAACGAACAAAATTTTGACACGCTGCTCCTCTTGCTTGGACGTCATTTTGAAAACTGGATAGCAAACGGTGAAAACTCATCATAGCAAACCATTGTATATACACTCAACTTTACAAATGCAGCATTTCAGAAGTTTTTAAAGCAATTTAAAGTTGACCAATTTTTGCGCGTTCCAGACTTTATTGCCTACGAACTTTATTTGATATCTTTGTTTTGGTATTGGTGAAACAATTCGCGTTGACGAAGACTCTGCAACAACACCATAAGCATAATCCCATTTCGTTAAACATAGGTGTCGATAGGACGAAGTTGCATCCATTTAAAGGCCCAATTGAGTAGACCGATATTACATCCAACTACCTGTTAAGTTATCATGTTATAATGGTGAGATTGAACAATTTTCAGTCGTGCCTAATCAATACCCAAATTATAAGAATATCTATGCTTACATATTGACAGTGAAAAATCGACTGCAGCTCAATTATTCTATAAGATACGGCATAAAATGTAGATGAAGCATTCATATTAGACCGAGGTTAGGGACGTATACCCTACGTTTAGGGTTCAGAAGTCCCCAAACCGTAACGAGAAACAGATAACGGTCGCAAAAAGCCGTGCCCGGAAGTTGTACGACCAGAAGTTAACAAAACCACACTGCTGCGTAATGGATGACGAGACATATGTGAAGGCGGACTTCAACCAGATTCCAAAAAACCTGTATGTGACTGTCAAGGATAAGTGTGATGTTCCCGATAACCTCCGGACACAGAAGATGTCGAAGTTCGTCAAGAATTTGGCAAGCGATTTGTACTTGCGGAAAACGGAATAAACCTTTGGTTACCGCAAGCACCATGAATGGACAGGTGTATTTGGAAGAGTGTCTCCAAAAGCGGCTTCTCCCTCTCCTGAAGGCTCACGACGGTCCGACGATCTTCTGGCCGGATTTGGCATCATACCACTACACAAAGGACGTGCTGGTGTTGTATGAGATATTTCGAGAAGCAATTAATCTATATGCATGTACATGATTTGTAACAGAGCTTTTTCGATAATTTATTACATATATTATACATTAATAATAGTTGAATAATATTTAGTTTAATAAATGTACAAGAGATTGTAATGTTGTACATTTATTAAACTAAATATTATTCAACTGCAAGAAAATTTACGCCAAGGTTGGTTGTTTCTTTAGTGATTATTTTCATGTTTCTGACGAGGAACGCAACACACAGCTATTAGAAAATTTATTACATACCTAATCTAACACCAACACAGCCAGTTCATGAAAGCACCCTGGAAAATGATAGATATATCTCCATCCTTTTTCTTGTCTATTTGGTATATTTTGTACATCAGAAATGCGCAAAATATATCAAAACGGCCAGGCCTACTGTGCAGCATTTAAGGGGCAAGATGATTCAGAAACATCGGGCCTGTTTAAATCAAAGATTTAAACACGATGCTTCAGAATCCAATAAATGGATGAAACGTGGACATCTCGTTCCTTACGTTCCGTTATTATAAATGATTGGTCGTTGGGAGCATAGCATTTAATCTAAAAAAAGTTAAATGATGCTCCATTTTCCTCGAGTGGTTGGGACATGAGCACTAGCTCTTATCTTAGCCCTATATGGCTTATGGTTATAGAGGTTTTCACGTCTGGTTGTATTGGTAGGATATATGAGAGCGTGTTGGTGAATTTTCGAGGAAAATTAGGTGAAGAACACAATTAGAAAAAGGTTGAACATGGGATTGAACTTGCAACCTTCTACTTGGAAAGCGGAAACGGTAACCACTATTCTACTGATTGTGTCTTGTTGTTTGGCTGAACCAGTGTTGTGGAGTAATTAATATAATACAACATGGATGCATAATGAGCTAAGCTATTATGCTAACTGTATCCATCTTTATTCAGCAATATTGTAAAGCAATGCAATGCAATGTGTATCAAAATGCAATGGAGCAAGAAAACATATAGGGGAAACGCTCCTATAGTTACGGTACCGTAAAACGGGGTAACATTGGTAGTTTTTTAAAGTATATTCTAAATACTTTTTACAGCAATGAATGTTTTTCAAATTTTATATTTTTAAAACAAGTACTGAGGATCCAAGAGTTAATTCGTTAGTAACATGTTGAACGAAAATTAAAGAATTTGCACTATTTTTTTTTTTAGTTTTGTGACCGAACTTCAGTATTTTGATTTGGAGTTACTTTGATAATGCTCGATGAATGTAGAAAAAAATGAGTGTAACAAAAACAATTAAGTTCTTTAAATATGAAACTTTGAATGAGTATATAATCAGAAAACTTCATAAGCAATAAGAATACAACATTGAAATTGTGATGGCTGTATCGGAAATACATTTCATAAAAGATGGTTTGAGTGCTTTTACAAAAAGGCGAAAAACACTAAAATGGTTTTTTTAATATTTTTGTAAAATATTTAACACATACTATATAAAAATTATATACGATAGCAACGGAAATACCCTAAGCTACAATATGGAACCAATGTTTCTTATTTGGAAAAAGCACAGCGAGTAAATTTATTCTTTATATTATACTATCAAAGTTACCCGCATTATCAAAGATACCCCGTTTTACGGTACGTTAGAAGCGTTAGATTCCTATAGTTGTGTATGGAGACTCAATACACAACTAAAGGAACGTAACACTTCTAACGTACCGCAACTATAGGAGCGTTTACCCTATTAGACGTCTAGTAAGCATGTTATTAAATCAATTGAAAAGTGTCAAATTAAAGTGTCGAGGTTTGTGCAAATTACACGTAGGGGAAACAGCCCTATTGTTATCGTTAGCAGCGTTAGAAGTCTATTGTTGAGTTTGGAGGTCTCCATACACAACAATAGGCCTCCCTTATATGCTTCTTTGTGATGGCCTCCCTTAGCTCAGTCGGTATAGGCACAGCTACAAAGTAAGACCATGCTGGAGGTTCGTTTCCCGGTCCGGTCTATGAATTTTTCGGGTTGGAAAACTAAATAATTTTCCGTTGTAGGAATGTCCTTTATAGCTGTCTGCTTCCTTATAGTGTCTAATAATCCTATATGGCTAATTTAGAGCATATGATTTGTCTATACTGTATCAACCAACTTTAGTGTCTTCACTGAGTGTGCACCTTAGGGCACGGAGGGTGGCTCTGAGATACGACATTCTTAATGTGGGATTTTCGATATTGGTCCATCCACTATGGGATGCATATTTAATATGTTATGGCCAATTAAGAATGTTGTACCAACAATCAATACGAAACTAACGATTTTAAATTGGCTCACTGCTTGACTGCTCACTGCGGAACTAAAAATCACGGCCAAATATCCAGAACAAAATTTTCTCAAATATACACCGTGAATTATGGTTCAATCAAGGCTGTGGTTCACGAATATGGGAACTCTTTTTTTCCCGTGTGAGCCTGGACTCGAACTCGAGACGACCGCATTGGGAAACCTCGACACTACCAACTCATCTACGCCAACACATTGAACTGAAGCAAACAAATCGACATGCCCTTCTACAACAAGATCGCTGAGTAAAGGCTTTATAATAGTGCACATGAATCACTTTTCTCAACTAGTTAATTATGTTATTCAGCAAGACTGGTGGATTGTGTAGAAGCCATCAAATGAGTAATATATTCACATTTTTGGCTTTGTTTTGCAGCTACAAGTTGAAAGTTTATTGATATGTGCATAGAAGTAATATTAGCGTTTATTGACTGCTGTTAATCAGTGTGACTGACAAGTTGAATAATGGTTGTGAAAAAGCCTCGGAAAAAGCTGGATAAGCTCTCTCCAAAACTATTTTTTAACGCTGGAAAAGTTGGCTTCTAAAGTCTAGTACGCAGCTTAAAAGAAAACGGAAAAGTATTTTTTGATGAATATTCCCAAAAGTAAATTTTACAGCTATAGGGAGGTGTCTTTTGCTAAATTCTGACATCATAGCGAGTTGTCGTCAATTTAAAAAAAATGTTTTCTGGGAAATAAAACATTCCCAATGGAAATGAACCATTCTGGGTAATAATATACCGTGGTAATCTGACCGTTTTTAATCTAAAACCTTTTTAGATTGAACCCCGCTAATATGCATGCCGTGCAAAGTAAAAATTCGATTCTTAAATTATGAAAAAATAAATCGGTTTTTATATATCATCTGAAAGAGCATCGTTTTCTGAGCACAGCGATATTTTTTTCGAACCCACACACTTTCATCTCGATTTTTAAATCAAGATTTAAAGCAAAATAATAACTTCACTGTTTGAAACTAAACTGACAAACTGACAGCTCGCTCCCATACAAAGTGACACCGAGGGGCGCTAATAAGGTGAAACGCAATCGTTCTTATTTAAAATAGTTCCAGTGTACCAAATTTCATGAAATTTTTGGTTTGGGTTCCATTTTTAATGCAGATTACGAATATGCATTTATCTCAACACCTTTAAGGAACCCAGTTGCTCAAACGTCATTTAGCACATGGAACGGAGTAAAGTGAAATGGAACGTTCCGAAACGGAACACAGAATTTGTTATGATTCAGCAAATGAGGTTACCAGAATCTCCCTTTTGTGATGGTCATAGGCGTACTAGAATCATTTAATGAAAAATAAACCTCGTCAATATGCACGAAAAGACGTTCAGATTAACGGGGGTTCACGTTATTCTGGGAAGTGTGATACCCTCTACATTAACATTAAATTACTTTAAACTTAAAACTACGATCGTGCACTAAATTTCAAAGCAATATTTATTCATCGATTTCTGTTTGCAGTGTCTCCACCACTTAGAACACACCGTATCGTGCACCGAACCATGTAAACACTCTTATCACAAAACGCTTGACTGATTTCCTTGGCCCGTTGTTTACGTAGGTAGGTACAATTATTCGCCTTTGGATTTCTTCTGCTTCGGCGGTCCCGCTGCCGTTGCTGGATAAATCACAAAAAGCGACAACTGCACCGCACACAAACCAAGGGCTATAACTTTCTGAACCTGCACGGAGGAAAATTTGAATTCCATCAAATTCTAATGAGCTACGAAAAGTTTCCCCCATGGCAAATACTTACAATGATAAAGTAGTTGTGTAAGATGATTCCGTACAGCAGCCAGAGGATGGAGGCTCCGGTGCTGGCCAGGATCACCGGCAAGGGAAGCCCTTCACTGCTTTTATTTTTGATTACTTCGCCCTAGCGGTAGAACGGGAATGGAAGTTGTAAATAACTTGTTTAAACTTTGGGGCTGTGGTAAAAAAAAAAACACAACCAACTCACCAATTTCAGTAATGGCAATCCGATGTAGCACAGGGTCAAGATTGTCACCAACAGTCCGAATCGGTCCTTTACTTGTGCTGGATTTTCGAAACCCGTATAGATCAGGGCTCCAGCCACGACTAGGAATGTTCTCATCACCAGCTTCCAGAAGTTGCTTCTCTTGCCACTTGGAGTGTAGAACAGATACCATCCGGAGTAGACCAAGCAGATGGCAAGGGCATAGCAGCTAGTTCGAATCAGGGCGGCCGCCCGAAGCATCTGGGAGTATTTCAGCTGAAGGGCCGTTCTGCAAAATGAAATTGGTCAACCTGCCTTAAATGAAATCAACCTTACCGGTTAGTCCACAACTCACAATCCACATCCGAACACAAACTGCAAAGCGGAGAATCCTTCGGAGCTACCCTTCAGTCGGATCTTGTTGCACGTGAAGCAACCACTCAGAAACTGCGCGATGGTCAACATGCCAGCCACATTCCCAATCACGTCCCGGTAGGGCAGCAGAGCACGTGCCAGTGAGTCCATGTTCGTGTTTTTTTTTTATGGAGCGAGTGACTTTCTTGTTGATAGCTGCCAGACGACTGACTGGAAGAGATTTGAATTTCACATTCCATCGATCAACCTTGCACGCCGGAGTATGGGAGATCGTCTGTCTGACTGATTAATCAATTAGCGTGTACAAAATGCGGCCGCCGGCTCACTGTGTCGTTGAAAAGCGTGCCTTCTTAGCACCTCGTATCTTAACGAGTGGTTCGGTAGGGTGGTCTTATCTAAGGTCGGGAAGAGCTTGCCGTGTCTTGTAAGTGGTGCAAGCGGATCCACTCTAGTTACTGCCGAGATAAGACCATTTATTTGAATTTTGGATTCTGACAAATGTGTTAGCTGAATGCAAGATTTGGCTCGGGTGGAACGCGCTAATTAAATCTTACTCGCAAAGATGCTGCTTTATAGCACATAGCATAGCGTAGCATATGCGATTGTACAAATTTTGGGTGGCTATAGAATGGTTAACTAATACACTTTGCTGAAAATATCGTGTGTTGCCGGGGAAATACACTCGGGGTTAGTGATTTTCACACACAACCAAATTTGCAAAACAAGTGTGCACCTGCACTATGGGAATTCAAGTGGCGAATAATCGAACAATGACTTTCTCCGTTTCGTGATTCGTGTTCGTTTATCGGTTGTAGACTACTCAACGGAGAAAACCCCAGAAAATCAGTTATCTAAACCAGCTTTATTAAATCTCAGAAGTCGGACAAAACCTAAAATGTTCCACAATCTGGGCGAAAATCACATATTTAGTAGATTTTGGGATGCCGATTCAATTTTTGACGTCGGAAATAATATGTGAACAATCCCATAAAGTGTGATCTTATCTTTCTGATACCATAAGCCCATTGATTGATTATTTGTTAACCTATATTACTCGGGTATGGAGTATAACCAGGCAATACTTATTTAAAAAGAAACCAGATTAAGGCACGGCCGTTCATATAACACTTTAAACGTATAATATAGGATGGGTGCTGGGCTTAACCCTAATTCGAATAAACATTGTTGAGCAAACGTCATTACCTGTCAGGATACAAAACGATCAAATAATAAACCTTCACTTATGTTATACTCATTGAACGAGATACACGTGTTTCTATTCGTCTTCACAAACAGTCCGGAAGTTTTGCAATTACGCTGTGGATACAGCAGTTTTGGCGACGAGAACGGAGAGAATCCTGCCCAAATTGAGAAGAATTATCATCACGGAAAGGACGACCGCATCGAGAAGGCGGATTTCGGAGAAGCTTCCAGCGTCGGACGAGCGGATACCAGATTGAAGGAACGTGTGATAAGCGGCCATCTAACCTCACTAGCGTTACAAAACGGGGCCCTTCCGAACTGCACTAGTAGTGTATTTTATGTCGAAGTGTGCGTGAAACTACGAAACTGCTGCTGATGTTGTTGTGTTGGTGCACAAATGACTGCTGTCAGGATTAGTGTTCCCGCGAACAATGAGCCCGTTGTTGCTGTTACAGTTGCACCCAACTTTGTCATGGAACCTTTCGAAAAAGACAAATGCAAATGGGCGAGATGGGTGAAGAGACTCGAAGGAGGATTTCGTATGTTCAATGTTGCGGATGACCTGAAGATGGACCACTTGCTGCATTACATGGGAGCAACAATGTACGAACTGCTTTGTGATTTCATTCAAAGTGTTTTTTATGTTACTTCATACGCGAAGTTAACGATTTTCAGAGTTGGTTGGAAATGCTAACATGAAGCTTTAGTGTGATGATTTATTAGCTAGAGTATGATCTTTAGAAGAGGGTAGGTGGATAGTTCCGTTAGAGTACGGCAGTATGAAAATTGAATAGAAGTTGAAAATGAGCGAAGGGCCATTAAAGCGACAGTTTACAAGATAGACGCACATTTTTGCCTAGCCCGTACGATGTACGCGGGGACTTGAAGTATGTCTCCAAGTCCACAGGCAAAAAATGTGCGTCCCTCTTGTTGCTCATAAACTGACTGCGGCTGTGGAATAGTTCTAGCGACGTTTTCATCACTACCTAAAGCAACACAATAGTTGGGTAAAGAAGAACTGCATTATAACACACCATCGACTGGAAATGCTCTCGCAAACGTGGGGCTTTAGGTAGTGATGAAAACGTCGCTAGAACTATTCCACAGCCGCAGTCAGTTTATGAGCAACAAGAGGGACGCACATTTTTGCCTGTGGACTTGGAGACATACTTCAAGTCCCCGCGTACATCGTACGGGCTAGGCAAAAATGTGCGTCTATCTTGTAAACTGTCGCTTTAATGGCCTTTCGCTCATTTTCAACTTCTATTCAATTTTCATACTGCCGTACTCTAACGGAACTATCCACCTACCCTCTTCTAAAGATCATACTCTAGCTAATAAATCATCACACTAAAGCTTCATGTTAGCATTTCCAACCAACTCTGCTTTGTGATTATATTACACCTGTAGAACCGGAAACGAAAACATATCAAGAATTGGTGACGATTTTGGAAGCATTTTTCAACCCCGAACCCCTCGAGATGGTCGAAGTATGGAAGTTTCGCACACGGACGCAGAAGGAGGGAGAAAGCGTGATGGAGTTCGTTACGGAGTTACAACGTAACGCAAAATCCTGCAAGTTTGGTGAATATTTACAAAATGAGTTGCGGAACCAACTGGTGTTCGGGCTGCGGTCGAAACGAATTCGTTCACGGTTGATCGAGGAGAAGGAATTGACGTTTAATAAAGCGAAAGAACTTGCTGTATCCATGGAGGCATCGGGAGAAGGAGCAGAAGTTTTCGAAACAAAAGTACACGATGTTAACTACACCGAGAAGCGGGCGGCTCCCCCAGGATTGTCTAAGGTAACTAACAATACTAAAACTAAATGTTTTCGATGTGGTAATGAAAATTATCTTGCAAGTGCCTGTCATCATAAAGAAACTGTCTGTAATTATTGCAAAAAGACAGGGCACCTACAGCGGGTTTGTCTGAAGTTACAGTCCGTGTCCCATACGAAGGGACAAATGTTGTCGAAGAAGAAAATGCAGACAAATTTGATTAATGAGGGTAGCGATAAGGAAGAAGTTGAAAATGAGTCCGAAGTAGAAGAACTTCTTACCCTTGAAATTTGTAAAGTCGATAATTCTAAATCTCTGTCAAAAGTACTTCTACCATTGCTTATTAATGAAAAAGCCATTCAGTTTGAAGTTGATTGTGGATCACCTGTTTCACTGATGAGTCTGGTCGATAAGAAGGCTTACTTGAGTGATGTGCGTTTGTTGAAAACCGATGTGGAGCTGATGAGCTATTGCGGAAGCAAAATCAAAGTTTGTGGATATGTGAATGTTACAGTGCAATACAGGAACAGTTCAAATACCTTACGCCCTCTTACGCCTATTTATCGTCGACAGTAAACGTCATCCATTGCTTAGCCGCGAGTGGATGCGCGTGTTGGATGTTGATTGGAACATTGTAATTCGAAATTCGGAGTCTGTGGTAAACACCATTACAGTTCGTAATTCCGTACCGAAAGCTGTAGGACAAATAATTGAGAAGTTTCCAAAAGTGTTTGATTCATCTGTGGGTACGATCCGTAATGTTCAAGCTTCATTGCATTTGAAACCGAACAGCAATCCGGTTTTTATTAAAGCGCGTACGATTCCGTTTTCAATTCGCGATACGGTGGAGAGTGAAATACAGAATATGGTAGACAGTGGAATCCTGAAGAAGGTTACTCATAGTGCTTGGGCAACACCGGTAGTTCCGGTTATGAAATCGAAGGAGAACGCAAATGCTGACGGAATGTCAAGATTGCCTATCCAGGATGCTGGGAACCGAGACAGAATCGAAGAAGTGAATCTAGTGGAGATAAACCAAATCGAAAAACTACCAGTCACCGCTAGTGAATTATCTGAGTTTACCAAGGACGATCAAAATGTGAGGAATCTGCTGCAAGGCCTTAAGGTTGGACGGAAAGTAGATGGAAGTGATAGATTTGGGGTGGATCAAAGTGAGTTCTCCATACAGAGTGGATGCTTACTGAAAGGAATACGGGTATACATTCCTTCAAAGCTCCGTAAACGAGTTCTGAACGAGCTTCATACGGGACATTTCGGTGTAACAAGGATGAAATCTTTGGCGCGTTCGTATTGCTGGTGGGAGTCTATCGATAGAGATATCGAGGATCTGTCGAGGAACTGTAGTGAATGTGCAGGAGTTCGCAAGAATCCATCCAAGGTGGCTTTACATTGCTGGGAGAGACCATCCATGTCGACTTTGCCGGACCGTTTCTAGGGCTCAACTTTATCGTTATAGTGGACGCATTCACAAAATGGCCAGAAGTCAAAATCATTCCAGACATGACTACAGATACAACTATTGATCGGCTGCGTGAGTACTTCGTGACGTATGGAATTCCATCGATCATCGTCACTGATCGTGGAGTCCAATTTACTTCGGAACAGTTTCAAGCGTTCATGAAACGAAAAGGTATCGCGCATAAAATGGGAGCACAATACCATCCAGCTACAAATGGATTGGCTGAACGTTTTGTTCAGACTTTCAAAGACAAGTTGAAGGCTTTGAAATGCGACAGGAAGGATGTACAGTTTGAACTTCACAAAATCCTAATAGCATATCGGCGTACCGTTCACCCGGTGACTGGGAAATCACCTTCAATGCTTGTGTGTTGGCAGGCAAATTAAATCGAGAATTGACCTTATCATTCCTGCAGGCGAAACTGAAATTTTTTTCGAGGAGAGGAAAAAGCCGTCCGAAGGTTTGCGATTGGTGAAAGGATTTCAGTACGAGACTTTCTTGGATCGTCAAAATGGCAATTCGGAATAGTAAGTGAACGATTGGGAAAGCTACATTACATGATCGAGCTGGATGATGGCCGTCTATGGAAGCGACATGTGGACCAACTTCGGGCAGGCCCTGCCAAGCGTAGCGATGATCAGGATTCGTGTTCAGATAATGAACAGCTGGATCAAAACCAAAGCCGGTTGGAAGCGATGGCTCGTTTTTCAAAACCGTTAGATCCAGAGTCGCAAGAAGAACCCCTTGTTGAAACGGAAACCCTATCG